CTCCTTATTTACCAGCAGTGTAGCAGAATGAATGTATCTCAAATCAGTTTTCAGGTTTCCAGTTTGATTTTTCTGCGCCAGCCACAGTGTGATGTACAACACTGTGGTAAAATTGAGTGTGGCTTGAACAGCACAGTAGGACCTAATTGATTATTGCAGAACAAATCTTCACAAACAAATGTAAAAATTTATTAATTTATTCCCTATGAATAAATGGTTGTTAAAAAGTAGCTCCCTAAAGTGATTTTGTGTGTTCATAGTACAGGCACCTACTGTCTGGCCTCCCCATGTCTGGGTCTGTCTTGTCCTAAAGTACGTTTCATAAAACACTAGTTCATTGATCTGCTTCACAATAAAAATGATATGAAGTAAATAAAATAAAATAATATATTTTGCACTGGGCCAGATCCTAACCATTTAACATCGTGAACATTATTACCATGTTTTAGAGCTCACGTACACTAGCAGTTTATAAAAAATACTGAGTGAAGTCAAAAATCTAATTTTCAAAGCTGGTGTTTCTCAGAACTATTTTATTAACTCCCTTTGTAATTATGTATTAAAATTCTTCAGAACTAATGTTCTAAGGAACTCATTTAGGGAAATATCACAGTTCATTCATTTTCAGATGCACATTTTTTTTCACTTGTTAACACCTCTAAAATTGAGATGCTTTCCTAAATTTGATGATGTCTTAGGTTCAATGAAAATATGACATTGCCCTAGCCACTTTAATGGCAAATATGTGTGCTGTTTTAGTTGTGATTAGGCTCAGCTGAGAGTGACAAGAATTCAAAATGACAATTCCTTAAATAAGATAGGAACCAATTGCTCACCCGTGAATCTAGAAGTGGGTAGCCCTGCGCTGGCATTGTCCTCTATGGTGTTGGATACCCACACTTCTTTCTTCCTGTTGCTCCATCACCCAGCACCTTTATCTCCAAGGTCATATAATGTTTCAAGGGGACTGCTGTATGTCAATCTATAATGCCTACTGAACAAACATGCCAGTAGTGTTTTTGCCAGCAGAAAAATACAAAAGATCAAGACAAAGGATTAAAAGTCAGGGGCCAGCTATCTCTCAAGGAAAGATCTCAGAAGCTGCCAAATGATACTTCTGTTTACATTCCATTAGGGTGTGGCTTAGTGGTAGCAGCCTGGGTAGGGAGGTTGATGGGGGTGTGTGAGGTGGGGCTGGGAAACATAGTCACTTTTTTGAACCTGAATGTGCTAGATAAAAGTTCTATTCCTGTGAAGAAAAGGCAGAACTGGAGATGAGCTAACACTACCTGCCATAGGGCAGTCACTGTACATATTGATCTTTACAGGAAAAAGATCATTAAAAAATTACTCTATTATAAAAAACTAGAGACATATCAAAGGATACCTCTTTTAAAGGTAAGGCATAAGGACAAATATTGAAAATGAGAAATTCATTTAGCCATTAGCAACTAGAAAATTAGCCCTTTCATCCCCAGTATCAAATAGTTCTGAAATCTCTTGGTATTCATGGTCCCTGGGCTTCAATTGTAAAGGTCATACCATAATTACATTCTCTGTTGCTTCATTTGCTTCTCAGGTCACTATGAGCATCCAAGTTTAAGTGGGTAGGGGGAAATACAACTAAAGATAGAGGGGCTGATTCATACATGGGGTATTATACAGATAGAGACTCAATTGTAAGAATGTCTAGAATTTATTCTGAGGTTCCTGAGAAAATTGATCAGTTTGTCTCCAGCTACTCTGTGATGGCATTTCCACCATGCTTTTAGAGATTTTAATTTGATTAAATGCAAAAGTTATACAGTTCTCCAGTATGTATCATATTTAATCCTCATATTTGCCCACAGTATCTTTAATTTCTAATTTTTAAATGGAAATACTGAAGCAGGGAGACTATTCACATTGAACCTCAAATTTGGCTAATACTGATTTGAAAATATAATTAGATCCTGATTAAAATATTTTTCAACATTACGATTAAAAGAATTAAGCATGTCTATATGAAATTCATCTCTTAAAAATGAATTTCTATCTACTTAAGCTAGTGCCATTTTGGAATTTCTGTCACTATCGGCTGATCTTCTTGATTCTTTTGCTTTATTAACCAAAAAATATTAATTAAAAACAAATGTATCATTCATTAAGGTCACAATTCTATTACCAATTCCTAACAGCTGTTATACTGTGATGCTTACCTTTATTTAGAAACTCTAAAAAACTTACTTAACAGAGGAAAACAGTATTTTTGAAATAATGAGATAGAAAATTTTCTGTGTTTTTACAATATCATATTAGCTGATAACATGAGGTAAATAAAAAATATGTACCTGCTGGGCCTCAAATCCTAGGAGCTCGTTTTTAGGAAAAGCAGTAATAAATGTAAAAATCTTGAAAATCCAACAGATGAGCTTCATAAGTTGATCTGTATTAGTGGATTGGTAAATATGTTTTGAATAAAAATGTCATTTTGTTTGTTGTTTATTGCCTTGTCTTAATGAGAAGGATTAGCCCTTTTTTTTTTTTAATTTTTAAGGAAAAAAATCATAAAAGCTACAAATACATGCTGGTATTATAATTTAACTTAATGTGACTGGAGGAAAACATACTTTTACCGGATAGATATGTATTTCATTATTATTATTAAATATGTATTGAGTATTTCCCATATGCAAAGCACTCTGGTAGGCTTTCAAATGTGGAGGTCAAATTCTAAATAACCAATCCTGCTGAATTAATTTTTAATTTATTAATTGTTAATTAATTTAAAGTAATAGTTATATGTTCATTGTATCAATAGAGCAGAAGGAACATGCCCTAGCTTTGTCATTAAATTGAAATTTTATTATTTTTCGTTTTTTTTGAAATTTTAAAGCAATAAAATAATAACTGGTACTCCATTTCTCTGAAAACATGAGGCAACCTAGTATTATAAATGCTTAAAGGCGCACTGACGAATAATATAAAATTGGAAGGCATGAGTTTTAAGATATGTATATTTCTGTCTCAGCTAGAAAGGTACCTTTCGAATTGAGTCTATATCTCTCAAATTATCTACCCAGAGCAATAAATACGTTTTGCCTCAAATCTAAGATTCTGCAATGCATTTCATCTAATGGCATCAAAACTTCCAAATCACTTGGTTTTCTATGATACTATCCTTCAAGTTATCATGCAAGCACTTCACAATGATTTGCTTGATGTTTTTGGAGTTTTCTTACATCATCTAAATAGGAGTAATGGAACTTAGGATATAGTTCAGGTGGTAATAGTTCCCTAAATCAAAACTGAACTCCCCTATTAAAATACAAATTGATAAATTATTTTGGATGAAACTCTTTTCAAGCAGACGTGTAAATTCTAAATGTTCCTTGTTTTAGGCTTGGAAGCTGTTACGTACTTATACTAGAAGTAATTTTTTTTTTGCAAGATACCAAACAGATCAGTAATATGACTGGTTCAAGTCACAATCATAAAACTTTTACATTGGTAGAATTTTGTATTTTACAGACATTTTACTTCTGCTGCAAATTATCCATTTATTTTTGATAAAGTAGGGAAACAATAGAAATGAAAGTTAAGAATTTTGAAACTTGGGTGTAGTCCTAGTCCAGTCTCGTTTAGCTGAGGGACTTAACATGTCTTTTAACTGTTAAAAGTTAGTTTTCTCATTCATTAATAGAGCTAATAATATTTGTCCCTGATTATATCACATAGGAATATTAAGAACATAAAATAATCAGTATGAAAACATTAACACACTTTCAAAACTTTAAAGAACTCTCAGAAATAATTGGTGTGTGTGTTGTATGTGGGTGAGAACATGTATACGCAACTGATAGAAAAATTAATAAATTGTTTATAAACCTGATTATTTTTGGAAGTAAAATTCATCTCTTTAGAAAAGTTTGGGAAATAACAGGTTATTGTGTTCTAGATTTTCTTTGAATGAAATGACCAGAACAAGTTTCATGCAATTTAATTGCCTTCTTGGAAAGATGGCGGCCAAAAGTGACTTCGTCAGGGCTTTAACCTGGGCCCTTAAGACACCATGGTTTTGCACAGTTGCTCTTAGACACTTTCTAAAGTCCTTTTTTTTTTTTCTGAGATGAAGTCTCACACTGTTGCCCTGATTGGAGAGCCGTGGGGCGATCTCGGCTCACTGCAGCCTTCGCCTCCCAGGGTCAAGCGATTCTCTTGTCTTCTTGCCTCAGTCTTTCAAGTAGCTGGGATTACGTGCCCACCACCACACCTGGGTAATTTTTTCTTTTTTTTGTATTTTTAGTAGAGTTGAGTTTTCACCATGTTGGTCAGGCTGGTCTTGAACTCCTGACCTCGTGATCCACCCACCTTGGCCTCCCAAAGTCCTGGGATTACAGGTATGAGCCACCAAGCCTGATCCTGAAGTCCTTTTTAGTATACAAGAATTTTATAAATATTGTTCCAGTGTTAGTATTTGTGCTGCTGAAGTAAGCACAGATTTTATAAATATCAACCAATTCATCCCAGTTTTATTTCCTAATAGCTGGTGCAAAATTGATGTGGTCCTTGGGGCTCTATATACGTATAATACATAATTGTCAGAAATGTACCCTTTCAAAATTAATTTCATCTCAGAATCACATACACTCTTTAAAATGGGAGAGAAAAGTAAACATTCTTTATGAGGACAAATTTGAATAATACCATGTAGTCTTCCTACGGATGAGGAAAACTCTGATTCAAGGTGACAGAAACATTGGCTGATAGTTTTGCACTGTGCGGTAACCCAGAAAAACCATTCTATGTATTGTTCTCATGACTTTGTATTAGGTTATGAGTCCCCACATTGAATTGTCATTTTTAACCATAAAGTGAAATAGAAATTCCACATAGTTATAGTTCATCTGGAAACTTGGATGTGTTTTTAAAATAATTGTAACTTTATAAAAAGGCATGACATTTTCCTATGGAGACATACTTGAGAAAATCTCATACATGTACCTTTTCTTTTTCTTTAGGCTTCTTTGCCTGCAACAACTGATCTTCCAGAATTTTTTGTTGCTTCTTATAAATGGCCTGGATGGACTCATGGCCCATTGGATCAAAAAAATTGTGCTGCATCCTGGGCATTTTCCACTGCAAGTAATAAAGTCATTTTAATTCCTTCCTTATAAGCTACCCCTTTTGTCTCTAGAGACTGACAGAATAATTAAACAATTAGAATATTTAAATATTAGCATATGATCAAATAAAATCTCATTGTGAATGAAGAAAGCAACCTGAAGATTATGTAAAAAATCCATTTTTCATCTAAAAGTTGTATTTTATTTTTAGAGTGCAGTTTTAAATAGAGAGTGAATCAAAAGAGTGACAAAATAAAATTGCTAAAATGCATTTGTCTATTCAGAGTTAAGGCCAGATAATAAAAAGATGATTAAGGTTCTTCTTCATTCATATATTATTTATGATTCCAATATACATATAGATACACCCACATAAACCTCATTTTCTTTTTACTTTATATAGCTTGCAAAACTGTAATTAATCTAATTTGGTGTAAAGTAAGACTTTAAAACTAATAATGGATCAAATGGATTTTATTTCATTTTAAATAAATATAAGCAAATATATAGGTTCTGACTCAAAAGTAACATAACTGATCTTCTAATCAGATTAGTTTCCAAATTAAGTCTACTGTTACTCAAAAAGTATAAACAGTGACTCTTTTATAGTTACTTTTATGTAAGTTCACAAGTCCAGTAAATTAATTACAGGCTAACCCTCAAATTTGGTCACCAAAATTATCCTCAAAGGAGTGCTGAATATATTTCAGCAATTAAGTGAAAGCTAGCATGATGATGATTGGCCTTCATTAAATTATTTTCATAAAACTAAGCTCTAGGGCTTGCAGGTAACTTTTAACAGTGCAAAAACTGTTTAAAGTCATGGAAGGATTGTGAATAAGCACATAGGCTCTTCGAGAGGGTGAAGCCAGCTCTGAAAGGTGGCATATTCTGGAACAGAGAAATGCTGATATCTTTGTCTAAATATCATTGCTCTATGGTATCAATCAGACAATTCCAGAAATACCTTTGTTAGTGCCATAATGGTAGCCAAGCTCACCCCAAGTGGCTACATCTGTCAATTCACTGCTGCCCACACCCCCTCTCTGGCTGTCTTATGCTGTCCTTGATGTGTTAGGGACACACATGGAGACCTTACTAAGCCAAAGTTTGTTTGCCTATTGATAGTTAAGACAAGATAAGAAGATTAAGTTTGTTTCAGATGGGTGGAGAGAGATTTAATATAATAAACCATCTGCCATTTTTTGTTCATGTGGTTAATGTGTTACACCTAGCAGGTGATCAATAAGAATTTTGTCTAAAATTTACATTATGCCAATATTTCTGAAGATGTCTAAGGAAAAATTTTAGTGGTGAAATGCTGAAAGCAACTTGCTAGGCTGGAGGATTTATTTTGGTGTTCCAGGTCACAACCCCACAGACAGCCTCTGCTCTGTGCCAAGTCAGGACTGTTCCCCTACCTAATTCATGGATCATCAGAGAGAGGTTTCCTTCTGTGATTCCAGAGGACGTAGTTTTGTATCCTGTGTATTCAGTATGATAAATTAGGGCATTTTTTTTTTGTTGTTGTTAAAGTAAATTATAAAGCTCTAAAAAATTATGTCAGAAAGCATTAGTTACAAAAAAGGATTATCTCTCAGGGAAACTAAAAGCTATAAAATGGAATAAATAAGACTCTGACAATATGCACGTATATTTGAAAAAGTTATTAATCAAATCAAATTCAAGCTGTTTGTCAGAAGCTGAAGAGATGAAGGTGTTTGTTGTAGTGGGAGTAATACGTGTCACATACATTTGAAGACAGAATAAAATAAGCAGGGAAAAGAATAGAGCATGTCTCAGAGATAACGTCCAGTGAAAGTTTTTAAGAAGAGGGTGGGAAACAATTGGTTGAAATGAGTCACTCTTAAATCTTCTGACCTTTTCTAAATATTTCAAGTGAATTTTGACTAAACCACCGCTGAGATTCAGAAATGTCGGTATAAGAGCAACTTATTGCATAACATTAGGATTTAAAAGACTTATCCTTTAGATGGAATCTACAGATTCATGAGGCTGGAAGAGATTTTAAAGGTCACCCTTTTCAAGCCTGTAGTATTATAAAGGAGGCCCAAGTAGGTAAAGTGGCTTACCTGAAGCCGAAAGATGAGAAGTATCAGAGATATCCCTGGAAACCAGGCTTCCAAATTTTGAGCTACTATTTTATCTGCACTATAAAAAGTATTTTCTAAATGAAAACACAGTTACACCAACATTTTAAAAAATTTAAATTTTATTCTAAATCTTTGTGCTGAATGTCAAAGCTTTAAAAAATTTCTCCTTTCTTTGATGAAATAGGGAATTATTTTCTTGACACCATCAGAAGTTGTATAATGTCATTTGCTCCTATGAAATATATCCTAGTACAATAGTAGACGGAAATCGAGTAGGGAGTTGGAGGTTACAAATTTAACACATATTGAACATCTAAAGAATGCCAGCAATTGCCCTACAGCATTGTAACATGCCGCAGTTACATTAAAACCGTGTGTATACAAAGATACATATGTAAATTAATTAAATGAATTATTTTAGAAAAATTTTAAATTAGCACCTTGAGGAGTTTCAGGACACTGACACTGATGAGAGAAATACTATAGCTTTCACTAAGAAAAGTGAATGAATGGAAGAAAGGTTATTATTTTGTTGCCTTTAATTAAAAGTGAGTAAGAAACTAAGCACCGAGAATAAGACTGTACCAGATATTCAACAACAAAAAAAAGTCTGTACTGAAGTAGTACCCACTCCAATTTTTTCGTGATCTCATTACTCACATTAGTTTATTTTGGTACCATGATCAAAATGATGACATGTGTAGGATTTTGCTATTGGTTGATTAGTTTCCCTAGTCTATTATTCTACGAGGGAAGAAGTGTCTCTCTTGTTTCTTGTTTATCATTGTAATTTCCAGTGCTACAGTGCCTGTCAGCTAGTAGGTGTTTAATAAATGTGTTGAGGAAAGGAATGAACCAATAACAATGACAATTCTAGGGAATTATTTAAACAAAAGAAGTTTTAATAATAAAAATGTTTGTGTGTGTGTGTGTATATATATATATAACAATATGAGTATCATAACTATATTACTAGTTGTACATAGCATTACATATAATCAATTACATATATAGCTATTTGATAGTGTATATATAATTATATAGCTATATGTGATAAATCATATATGTAACTAATATTAGTTAATAATTACAACTGTTAGTAATTGTAACTAAATAAATATATTCAGCTTGTTTTATATATAGGTATAAATAAGCTGAATTCCATGTCTACTGAAACAAGATTAAGATAATAATGTTATGAGCACAAAAGTGTGCAATGTAGCTTTTAGATATTGTAGAAAATAAATTCATATTAGTCTCAATTAGCTTAAGTATGGTCTCCTGGGTAGCTAAATTAGATACCAGTTTAAAAACAAAGGATTCAATCTTATTCCAATATAGTAGATGACTGAGGATGAGTTTCCAGTTAATATTTCTATGGTTAGTTTTCTTGATTACCCCAGTTCCAGTTTAGTTACACTCATTTAGAAAACATACATTGCCCATGACTACATGCAAGATACTGTTCTCGGTGCAGGAAATAGAAATATAAGGAACTTATGGCTCTCGCCCTCCAAGAGTTTCACTTGACAGATTCCTTGATGAGGAGTTCAGAAGTATATAGAACATCAAAGGAACAAGAAACCAGAAAAATCTTTGAAGCAAATAGGACAATGGAATAATATCAAAATAAGACAAAAATTATGACAAAGTATGACACAGTTCAACTGGTTGGAATACATAAATATATATTAATGCTATTTGGCTTTAATTATTAATTATACACAGTTTTAAGACTAGTTTAGGGTTCAAACAAAAAGGATTATGTATGTTATTAGGAATGCCATGTACCATTTGAATGTTAATTGATACTCTGTTTGAAACAGGTGTGGCTGCTGACCGAATAGCAATTCAGTCTAAGGGAAGATACACAGCCAATCTATCCCCTCAGAATTTGATCTCTTGCTGTGCCAAGAACCGTCATGGATGCAACAGTGGAAGCATCGATAGGGCTTGGTGGTACCTGAGAAAACGTGGGTAAATAGCTGCCTAACGTGTTTCTAGGATTTTTATGAGTGGTACATTGTGTTAGAACAAGGAAAAGAACCACAGTATTTTAACAAAAAAAATTTAAATACACACACACACACACACACACACACACTATATCTATATGAATATAAATATGCTATTTAAATATACACTATATTGGTTATTCTATTGAAATTAGAAGCTATTAGACATACTTCTTAAAGAATGTATGTATTTCTAGCTAAATTAATATAAATTTTACTTTTGAAGATGCAAGTATTTCTTCTTGTTACTCTGATCCAAGCGAGTCCCCACAGACAGAATAAAGTAATCGGGGTTGCAGATCTCTCTGCCGTGCTTTTCAGTTACCCAGGTTGATGAATAGATAATGCCAGGTAAAATTAGGCTAAAAATAAGAATAATAATGTAAAGAAATAATTTACAGTTGTTTTAATTCATCAGTATGGTTCATTAATTGTCTCCAACCCATCCGATGAAAAAATGGGAGGTTACATTTCCTTAGTCTCATGGAGCCTGATACCCATATAACATCCTTTTGTCTGCTATAAGAGCTGATCCACCAAAAAGCTGAATTATTTAACTAAGGAAGCTGCTGCTGATAAAGAGTGGTGTATATATGTACTGCTCACTTGCTCTTCATCATTCACCCAGTGCTCTGGGTCTGCTACAGGACCAGTTAGATGCTATAGAAGATAGTGGATGTCATATTTTGTTGGGTTGCAATAAATTGCTTTAGATCTTTTCATGTTTTGCCTAAAATGTGATGCTTTGAATGGGCAACTTAGGCTGATACTTTCCTGGTGTACTAGTGCTTGGTTGGTTTCTGTTTTGTATTATGATAAAAAATAAAAGCCCTTTAGGAGCTTAAAAATGTAAATTATCATTGAGACCCAACTAAATCTCATTGTATTGGACTGCTTGGGGTGCCGTAACAAAATTCCGTAGACTGAGTGACTTAAACAGCAAACACTGATGTTTTGGAGGCTGCAAAATCCAGGACCAAGTTGCTGGCTGATTAGGTTTTTGGTAAGGGCCCTATTTCTGGCTTTCAGATGGACCCCTTCTCGCAGTGTCCTCACATGATGAAAGAGAGCTCTGGTTTCTTCCTTTTCTTATAAGGGCACTAATGGCACCTTATGATGGCCCTACCCTCGTAACATCCTTTAAAGTGAATTATCTCTCAAAAGCCTACCATCAAATATCATTACTTTGGGTATAAGTGCTTCAGCATACAATTTTCTTTCTTTCTTTCTTTCTTTTTTTTTTTTTTTTTTATTTTTTGTTCTGGAGTATGTGTGCAGATAGTGCAGGATTGTTACATAGGTATACACATGCCATGGTGGTTTGCTGCATCCATGCCCGCATCATCTACATTAGGTATTTCTACTAATTTTATCCTTCCCGAATTCCTCCTCCTCCTGCTCTCTCTCCCGTAGCTCTCCCATCCCCCAACAGGCCCTCATATGTGATGTTCCCCTCCCTGTGTCCATGTGTTCTTTTTATTCAACATCTCAGTTTATGACTGAGAACATGCGGTATTTGGTTTTCTGTTCTTGTATCAGTTTGTTGAGAATGATGGTTTTCCAGCTTCATCCATGTCCCTGCAAAGGACATAAACTCATCCTTTTTCAAGGCTGCATAGTATTCCATGCTGTATATGTGCCACATTTTCTTTATCCAGCCTATCATTGATGGGCATGTGGGATGGTTCCAGGACTTTGCTATTGTAAACAGTGCCCCAGTAAACATACACGTGCATGTGTCTTTATAATAGAATGATTTATAGTCCTTTGAGTATATACCCAGTAATGGGATCACTGGGTCAAATGGTATTTCTATTTCTAGGTCCTTCAGGAATTGCCACACTGTCTTGCACAACAGTTGGACTAATTTATACTTCCACCAACAGTGTAAAAACATTCCTATTTCTCCACATCCTCTCCAGCATCTGTTGACTCCAGATTTTATAATGATCACCATTCTAACTAGCATGCGATGGCATCTCAAAGTGGTTTTGATTTGCATTTCTCCAATGATCAGTGATGATGAGCTTTTTTTCATGTTTGTTGGCTGTATAAATGTCTTCTTTTAACAAGTGCCTTTCATATCCTTTGCCCACTTTTCGATGGAGTTGTTTATTTTTTTCTTGTAAATTTAAGTTCTTTGTAGATTCTGGATATTAGGCCTTGGTCAGACGGGTAGATTGCAAAAATTTTTCCCATTCTGTTGGTTGCCAGTTTACTCAAATGATAGTTTCTGTTGCTGTGCAGAAGCTCTGTTTTGGCTTTTATTGCCATTGCTTTTGATGCTTTAGTCATGAAGTCTTTACCTATGACTATGTCTTAAATGGTATTGCCTAGATTTTCTTCTAGGGTTTTTATGGTGTTAGGTCTTATAGTTAAATCTTTAATCCATCTGGAGTTAATTTTTTATAAGGTGTAAGGAAGGGGCCCAGTTTCAGCTTTCTGCACATGACTAGCCAGTTTTCCCAACACCATTTATTAAGCAGGGGATCCTTTCCCCATGCTTGTTTTTGTCAGGTTTGTCAAAGATCAGATGGTTGTAGATGTGTGGTCTTACTTCTGAGGCCTCTGTTCTGTTCCATTGGTCTATATCTCTGTTTTGGTGCCAATATCATGCTGTTTTGATTACTGTAGCCTTATAGTATAGTTTGAAGTCAGGTAACATGATGCCTCCAGCTTTGTTTTGTTTTTGCTTAGGACTGTCTTGGCTATGTGGGCTCTTTTTTGGTTCCATATGAAGTTTAAGGTGGTTTTTTCCAGTTCTGTGAAGAAGGTCAATGGTAGCTTGCTGGGGATAGCATTGAATCTATAAATTACGTTAGGCAGTATGGCCATTTTCATGGTGCTTTTTAAATTGACACAGTTCAGTCCACAGCACTCATCATTTAATACAAATGTAATGCATTTAATGCAATATATTTTAGGTTGTTTGAGTGTTTTCAATGGTTTTGCTTTTGTCATATTCTTTCCTCAGATAGTCATACTGTGTTGGACACTATTACATTTTCAAGAGCCAATCCTAGTGGATACTTCTATGGCCATTTCAGCACAGAATATTGACAATATCATTTCTATGATTTTATTTTCCTTACATTTACCTTTTTATTCAATATTATTAAGTTGGAATTCGTGCCAAATAATTTGTACTTTGCTATGTTTAGTTTCAAAATCAGAAGTGAAAATCATTTTCTCTGTCTTTTAGATCATACACACATCTGATCGTTTACTACTTTATTAACTTTAAATATTATATTAATAACATGCTGTTGCTCCCAATGTACCATGAACCACCGATATATAATAGTTTGTATTATGTGAACATATCTATACCTTAATAAAAATATAAAAACATGAAAACAAAACAAAATAAAAACTTTAATGCTACAGCTTGCATAATTTTAATATCCCATCTAGGAATAGTCAGATTCATTGTCTTATTTATATTAAATTTAGCTCTTCCAAATTATAATTACATATACAGGTTGAAGTGGTCCTTCTCCTATTAGTATTACCACAGACTTAATATTGACAGCCATTTTTTAACTTTAGGAAATTCTATACTACAGATACAATTATTTATTAAAAATTGATCGAAGCAAGATTTTTAAAATTATAATGAAGTAATAGGAGGGTAGGGAAGAGTGTAATGTCATTGAGCTTCTGTCACTGTTTTAGTCATTATTAGTCACTATAATCAGTCACTATTTTGAAAATTATGCATGTAAGTAATCAGAATAATTTATGAATGTTTAATTCAGTAAAATTAAATACAAACAGGATATTATGGCATTTTCCTAAATACTACCTTTGTGTTTTTGCTTATTCCTCATAGGCTGGTATCCCATGCATGCTATCCACTTTTCAAGGACCAAAATGCTACAAACAGTGGATGTGCCATGGCAAGCAGGTCTGATGGACGAGGAAAACGGCATGCCACAAAGCCGTGTCCCAACAACGTAGAAAAATCTAACAGGATCTACCAATGTTCTCCTCCGTACAGAGTCTCTTCCAGTGTAAGTGTAAATGCAAAGAAACAAGAATAGTTGACTTTCTCAAACATATGTAGCTCTGCTGTAACTGAAACAATTTAAAAACTATTTAAAACGATTATATTCTAAAATAATTATATTATTTTCATGTATGATTTTTAATATTTTTAAGTACTTTCAGTTTTGGTATCATGTCTTACCTTTGTAATATTAGCAGTGTAAAAATTGACTTCAATTAAAAAAATGTCCAAGGAAATAGGGTTTTAAAATTATGTTTCGTAATATGTATACATAAACATATTCGAACTTGACAATTAAAAGCTAAGTTAAACACTTTTTCACTGACTTTTTGGTGGAGTTAGCTCATTTTTCCAATCCTTTGTCTCATTCAACAAAATAATTTAAGAGGACCTGGGTCTAATAGGAAAAATACTCCCGTGGATTCTAGGTTGTCTGTTAAAAGCCTCAGCAAATTTACTTCACCATATCAGTGTTACCCAAGCCTTCTCATTTTCAGAATTTGCGAACCTCCAGTGCCCCCCAGCTATCTCCAGAAGACAATTCAGTATTTAACCATGGCACACTGGCCTTTCATGAGTTGGTTTTGACTTACTACTTTTGTTCACTTATGTCCTGCCAGCATCTGCCGCTCTATAGGGACATATGTTCCTTATATACGGAACTAGTCTCTGTTCCCCAGATACACCATGCTGTGTTATACTTTTCCACTTACCTAGGTGATAATTCTTCAGATGCAAATGGTTATTAAACCTTTCCATCGAGAATGCCAAACAAATGTTAAGGCCCAGATAAAAACTTTATCTTCTCTGTGAAGTTTTCCTTGATTTCTAGGCAGCATTAATTTCCCTTTTTTGTTTGAAACCATAACACTGTGCTTGTCTCTACAATTGATCTCATTATATAATAATGGAATTAGTAGTGTCATTCAACCAAAATGTAAATACCTTGAGTATAGGTGCAGGGTTAATACGTGTTCCTGTCATAGTTTCTGGCATGTACTTTGTGCTCAGCGTGCACAGAGTGAGTGAATGAGTGCCCTGCCGCCCTGCAGAGGGCTGCATTATACATTAGGAGACATCATAGACATATTTGTACTAAAACTACTGTAACAACTAAACAATCATTTGAGATAGTTCTTGTGAGAAAAAGACTAGAGGTACTATTAATCTCCACTATATCCACTATATTGTTTTAACTTACCTTATTTATTTATTTATTTATTTATTTATTTATTTATTTATTTTGAGGCGGAGTTTCGCTCTTGTTGCCCAGGCTGGAGTGCAATGGCATGATCTCGGCTCACCGCAACCTCCGCCTCCTGGGTTCAGGCAATTCTCCTGCCTCAGCCTCCTGAGTAGCTGGGATTACAGGCAAGCGCCACCATGCCCAGCTAATTTTTTGTAGTTTTAGTAGAGGCGGGGTTTCACCATGTTGACCAGGATGGTCTCGATCTCTTGACCTTGTGATCCACCCGCCTCGGCCTCCCAAAGTGCTGGGATTACAGGCTTGAGCCACCGCGCCCGGCCCTGCTATTTATTTTTTTAACCATAAAAAGAGATTGTATTTTCTCTCCACTCCAAAATTACTATTTAGTGATAAATGTCATTAAAATAAATGGATGCTTCCTGTCTTTAACAATTTCATTAATGCAGCATAATAACATGAGTTTTTCAAAGGACAATTGGGAGTGAATTGCAAACACTTAACATTGTACACCAATCAATATGTTTAGTATGCTCTGATAATGATATTGCTCATCCATATTTTTCCATCCAGGAAGCAGAGATAATGAAAGAAATCCTGCAAAATGGGCCAGTTCAAGGTAAGCCTGGATGAAATATAGTTTTATCTTATTCACTCTTTTAATAAGCAACATTACATTGAGCTCGCATAATAGGAGTTTAATAAAAGAAAGAAAATTTTCACTTTAAGAGTATTCAAAAGGGTTCAACAGTTATAAAATTAGTGCAGTTTTGAGAGATATGCTTAACTATATCTTAATTAGCTGCCATTTGATTTTCAGAAGATAGAGTAATTTAAAAATTGAACTCTTAAATACTACATATTTGATGAATGTCTCCAGAGTCTTTTCAGAGTGATCATGGGCCAACAGAAAGTCAAACATGAAATGCCAACTGATTAATTTGTAATGAAGTTTGCTTTATTCAGTCACATTTAAGAATCATACATAGTGTTTTCTTGTCTTCAGTTTAAATGGATTACGTAGTGGATTAAAACAAATTGAGGATTAATATTTTCCTTCTATTAGCTCAAAGTAAATAAAGTACACCGGTATAATTTTGCATTTTACAAAAGGCTATCGAATTTGATCAATTCTGTAAATGTTTTATGTGGAGTAAACTAACAGTAAATAATAAAATAACAGTTACTTATTGTACATTGCCTTTGATTTATATTATCTCTGATAATAATTTATTCTGCTTACCTGTTGAGTTTTATTTTGCACCAATGGCCTGGATAAGGGTAAATTCACAGAATGTATTCCCTGTATAAACATTGGCTTGAAGTGCATGGAAAAACAAATCCAATGAGCCCAAAAATGAAAATTTGCGTTGTGAATTCTGAAGGGCCCGGAATATATTATCAATAAAGTGGAATAAAAAATAGGCCAAAATTAAATGTAAAAACATTTGGTGCATACTTAAGGAACTAGTGCCAATTTTAATTTTTCTGAACACTGATCTAATTATATTGGTTACATATATATAGACAGGAATCATAAATTTTATAATTGTGTGGGATGAATTTTTATTGATCATTTTCACCATTTGGCATTTATTAGGAACCACAGCTTACATAAACATGTCCTGAATTTAATTTTTAAAAATTGTGGGACGTTATGTAAAACCTGAAACAAATGAAGGAAGTTTTCTGTTCCCCCTTACAGCTTTGTAAGCTGTGTATTTGTTGGTCATTTTAAGAGTAAGGGGAATAATCTTTAATTTCAAGGCATGCTCCACTAAGTGGTGCTTGTGTGACAAATTTAAAGGCTCACAGGCATTTGAACTCAAGGTTACATTTAAAAATCCCAACTTTGGCATTTGCTATTTAAATAACTGGGCAATTTACTTAACCTTTCAGAATCTTCAAGTCATTGTACCATCGTTTCAAGCATTTTTTTTTCCCTCTCTCCCTCTTTTTTTAAATCAGACAAACAATTTTGAATTGTAACTATTTCAAATTGAGAAGATGTAAATACCTTAGGTTTATTTTATGGCCATATACTGAAATGCTCATAAATTTCAAAGAATGAATCAGAAATAAAGAATAACATTTAAAAGCAATAAAGCAAAAATGCAAGTTATTCAACACCCAATTTACAAAGGTTTCTTGAGAACCTGCTTCCCACCCGCCTAAGCCAGGAGCAAGAGATGAACAACAATTAAGGCTCTCATCCATGTTAAAATTCTGTATCACGAGTTTACTGTAATTTTCCAAAAGTAAAATTGCGTGATCATAACTTATACAGTTATATTTGTGAATTAAGTGGGTTTGGTATCAGAAACTGCAGAAAGAAGCCATCTTTCAGGTAATTATAATGGCTTCTCATCCTTTTTTTTAGTTGGCAGTGTTTTTCAGGAATAATGAATATATTTTTTTTGATGCTTAGAGAAATGTTGAATCATAAGACCTAAGAGAGTGAATGGTTCTATAGAAAAGAAAAACCATAGCAATATGTTTACATTTTTATAAATGGATAGAATGCTGGTTGACTCTTCTTGCTATCGATGTTATGGGATTGCCTGCTTGTTATTGTCCGGCCTTGCATACAGCATTTCCCCTGTCTCAGCACAAAAGAGTGTAAAAGGCAATAGAACCCTGAATGAATAACATTGCGTACATTCTTCTAAAAGCTGTAGGATTAAAAATAAATATAGGTGATGGAAAGAGAACAAAAGCAGAGATCTGCATAGAGTACAGTTACATAAATTCTTAAAATCCTAAAGGAATATGTTTTAGAGTAGATAAAGAAGTTTTAACCTTTTGTGACTATTTGCACAGCATCAGAAAAGGCATGGAACATTGAACACTGAAACAAAAAGTGGAACATTACAAAGTTATATTTAACTTTGGAGAATAAGTTTTTGTTTTAAGGATCTGTCAAACACTACGTTAGTTTGTTTAAAATGCTTGTCTTAATTAGACAAGCATTTTACACAGTTATCAAGATATACATATCTAATCCCAACTAAAAAATTTTAAATTCATATGTTCTAGAAGAGAAGTTTAGAGTCTTCATCCTGAATTGCCACAGCCCTTCCACAAAGAAACACACAATAGAGAAATGAAGTAATCTAGGTGAGGGAATGAAGGACAGGTGTCTAAAGTGTAAACTCCACTTTTCCAAGTATACAACATTGCTTATCTCTCCAGAGCTGGGAGGATGAAATCCTGTCAAAGTTTTCTTTTGCCAGGAGTTTGCTTTTTTTATTCCAGCTCACCAAAGAAAGATTCGTATTTACTTATGAGGATTAAAGACAATTGTTTTAACCCCAGTTTGCTAGGCTTTGCTAGCTTAATTGGAGTTTCAAGAGGCTTGTGATAAAGCACAAGGTTAATGGAGAAATAGCAATCACAGACCAAGTATAGTGTGCTTTTGCTGCAAGGCCTTAATTTTTGGTAGTAGAGTCTCTGCTGATTAGACTAGATGGTGTTTTAAAAGCATAGTGTGTACTTAATAATTCTAAATAGTTAAAAGTTGTTTTTATAAGATAACAAAAGATATTTCAACTAATTAAATTAAGTAGGAAAGAAAATAAGGCTGAATTGCACAATCCCTTCTTAGATTCAACTCCTTGCAATTTACCCATTGATTATTCTACGAAATTTTCTGGTGGTTTCTAAAGATGTTTTAATGCTGTCTTCTGTCGGATTTTATTTTAGCCATAATGAAAGTCCATGAGGATTTCTTCCATTATAAGACAGGAATATATAGACATGTTACCAGCACAAATAAAGAATCAGAAAAATTTCGAAAGCTTCAGACACATGCAGTCAAACTCACTGGGTAAGGCAATTAAAACAAAATACTCCTGTAATGCTTTTGGAAAGTGAAACTGGAAATAAGAATATGTAGTGTTTTAAATGCTAGAATCCCTTTTGTAGGAGAGATTGTGATATAAATGAAAAATGATCTAAACCTTGATACTATTTAGTCATTATTTTAAAGTCCAGTAAAAGTCTAACTCGGCATTTTGGGGACAAAATGATCATTTTCTAGCTCTTACTTCCTGTCACTATGTCCTTAAGAATCTGTTCTAAGGGCAAGGAAAATATATTATTGAAATAACTTCTACATATGGCATAATCAAGGAGAGAAAGCAAATCCAAGGTGTATTATGGTTTGAGGAAACTGTTTTGAATAGAATTGCAAATAGCAAAGATTAAGCAGGAAGAGAAGTAAGGTCACCTATAATTCAATGTAAGGTTACTTTATGTGAGAATTGCAGAAAGTAGATTGATCAAATTTGTAAGTAAAATATATTAATCTATGCAAGAGCAAGAAAGAAGTTCAGAATTTGGTGGTGGGATTTCAGGAGTAGGTAATTTTAAAAATAGGCCCTATTCTGAAAGACAGTGTGGTTATGAGACCACTTTCCCAGCACCTTCTCAATTTGTTCTGACTAAAACATCTCATAATGTCTCCCTCTAATTCAAATGAAATGCTATAAAGTTTTCTTGTCCATCTAAAATCCTCACTCTTCTCATCTTGCATATTATGGTAAATAACTTCGTTCCTATTGAACATGTCCTTAATGGCTTAATTTTACCAAGCCTGCACAAAACAACCTCACCTACAATCAAATTATCTTCTCCTTACTGATCTTTGAAACACCTTTAAATCACTTCTAAGCTATGTAGACAAACTATCCTGTGTGATGTCTCCAATCGTTGTCCCTCTTTTGTTTTAAATACTCAAATATTTCAATTAAATAATTATCACTTTTTTAAATATAAGATAATACTAATTTTACGATGTGTTGATTTCAGGAATGTGAAAATATGAAGAATATGATGTAGGATACTAAATTATTAATGTAGGATACTAAATCTACAAATGGAAAAAATGTAATGCATGTGTGTATGTATGTATTTATAAATGTTTTCACCATTCAGAGATAACCTCTGTTGAAATTTCTGAGTATTTTTAGTGAATCTCCTAGGTATATAACTATAGAGAAACAAGAAAGAAAGAAAGAGAAGGAAGGGAGGAAGAAAGGGAGGGAGGAAGAGAGGAAAAGAAAGCGATTTCATAGGAAAACAAGATACTGTAGTACTTCAGATCTTTTGAGAAGGAAAATTTTTCTAATGTTTTCACTGACAGTGTATTAAAATGCCAGTTTTTAACATTCTTTCAAATACTGCATTTGAAAGAAATGCTTTTCCATTTTAATAGGGTTATAAAACTGAATAGTTTTAATTATTCAGCATAACATCTTTAGAAGCCTATGGTAGCTTCCTATTACCCTACTTTTTAAGGTTATATGGAATAAGATGATTGCCTTAATTTTTAAAAAGTGTATCATTTTTAATAAAACGAAGTCATATTCACTACTAAAATTAATAACTAAAAAGAAGATATTAAAAAAACCAAAAACCCAAATCAGGCCAGATGCAGCAGCTCATGCCTGTAATACCAGCACTTTGGGAGGCCAAGGCAGGTGGATTGCATGAGGTCAGGCATTTGAACTCTTATCTTTACAAAAAAAATACAAAAATTAAGATGGCCAAATAAGAACAGCTCTGGAGCGCAGGTCCCAGCAAGAACAATGCAGAGGGTGAGTGATCACCACATTTCCAAATGAGTTTTTACTGCCTGCAGACTAGGAGATTCCTGGGCAAAAAAGTGCTATGAATTTCCAGCACAGCTGTTTCAGCTAGAGCAACTGGTTTCAACACAAAAATTCATACAAATCTGGGCAGCCATTTCAACTGGTGCCTTGAACACCTGGGAGACAGAGCCACCCATTTAACTGAAAAAGAGGGGGCTGAAACAGGGAACCAGGTGATCTGATTCAATGGATCCCACACCTACAAAGACCAGCAATCTGAAATACTAAGGGTTGAGAGTTTCACAGCAAATGCAGCTGGACCCTGGACTGTGCAGCTTGATTGGGGGAAGGGCATCTGCCGTTACCAAGGCAGTCCACCATCACTGAGACAGTCCACCATTACCGAGGCAATTCTAACTGTATCTCTGTAAATAAAACTGCAAGGAAGTTTACACAGCAGCTGGGCAGAGCCCACAGCAGCTCAGCAACACCTCTTCTGGCAGACTGTGACAAGACTACCTCCTTGCAGGGCAGGGTATCTCTGAAAAAAAGCAACAGCACATCAGGAACTTATAAATAAAGCGCCACCTTCCCAGCACAGAGCACCTGGGAAAAGAGGCAGTTATAAGTTCCGCTGCAGCAGACTTAAACATACCTGCCCAACGGCTCTCAATGGAACAAGAGCTCCCAGCACAGCACTTGAGCTCCTATAAGGGACAGACGGTCTCCACAAGCAGCTCCCAAACCCCTGTATATCCAAAGAGACACCTTGTAAAGGAGAGCTCAGGCTGACATCTGGCATGTACCCTCTGGGACGAAGATAACAGTAGAAGAAACTGGCAGCAACCGTTACTGTTCTGCAGCCCCTGTGGGTAATCCCCAGACAGGTAGGATCTGGAGTGGACCTCCAGCAGTCCAGCAGCAGAGGGGCCTGACTGTGAGAAGGAAAACTAAAAAACAGAAAGAAATAGCTTCAACATCAACAAAAAGGATGCCTACTCAGAGACTCCATTTGAAAGTTACCAACTACAAAGACCACAGGTAGATAAAGCCATGAAGATGGAAATAAACCAGCACAAAAAGGATGATAACACCAAAAACCAGAACACCTCTCCTCCTCCAAGGGATCACAACTCCTCACCAGCAAGGGAACAAAGCTGAATGGAGAATGAGTCTGATGAATTGACAGCGACAGGCTTCAGTAGGTGGGTAATAACAAACTACTCCGAGCTAAAAGAACATGTCCTAACCCAATGCAAAGAAGCTAAGAACCTTGAAAAAAGTTTTGACAAAATGCTAATGAGAATGAACAGTGTAGAGAAGAATATAAACGACTTGATGGAGCTGAAAAACACAACACAAGAACTTCACAAACCATATAAAAGTTTCAATAGCCGAATTGACCAAGCAGAAGAAAGGATATTAGAGATGGAAGATCAACTCAATGAAATAAAATGAGAAGGAAAGATTAGAGAAAAAAGAGTGCAAAGAAATGAACAAAGCCTCCAAGAAATATGGGATTATGTGAAAAGACCTAATCTGTGTTTGATAGGTATACCTGAGTGTGATGGAGAGAATAAATCCAAGCTGGAAAACACCCTTCAGGATATTATACAGGAGAACTTCCCTATCTAGCAAGGAAGGCAAATATTCAAATCCAGGAAATACAGAAAACACTACAAAGATACTCTTCAAGAAGAGCAACCCTAAGGCACATAATCGTCAGATTCACTAGGGTTGAAATGAAGAAAAAAATGTTAAGGGCAGCCAGAGAGAAAGGTCAGGTCACCCACAAAGGGAAGCGCTTCAGACTCACAGCAGATCTCTCGACAGAAACCCTGCAAGCCAGAAGAGAGTGGGGCCAATATTCAACATCCTTAAAGTAAAAAACTTTCAACCCAGAATTTTACATCCAGCCAAACTAAGCTTCATAAACCAAGGAGAAATAAAATCCTTTATGAACAAGCAATTGCCAAGAGTTCGTCACCAGCAGACCTGCCTTACAAGAGCTCCTGAAAGAAGCACTAAACATAGAAAGGAACAACCCATACCAGCCACTCCACAAATGTACCAAATGGTAAACAGCATTGACACAATGAAGAAAGTGCATCAGTTAATGGGCAAAACAACCAGATAGCATCAAAATGGCAGGATCAAATTCACATGTAATGATATTAACCTTAAATGTAAATGGGCTAAATGCCCCAATCAAAAGACACAGACTGGAAAATTGGATTAAAAAGCCAAAAACTATCAGTGTGCTGTATCCAGGAAACCCATCTCACTTGCAAGGACACACATAGGCTCAAAATAAAGGGATGGAGGAAGATCTACCAAGCAAATGGAGAGAAAAAAATAAATTAATTAATTAATTAAAAATAAAGAAAGAAAGAAAAAGGAGGAGTTGCAATCCTAGTCTCTGATAAAAAGACTAAACCAGCAAAGATCAAAAGAGACAAAAAAGGGCATAACATAATAGTAAAAGGATCAATACAACAAGAAGAGCTAATGATCCTAAATATATATGCACCCAATTCAGGAGCACCCAGATACATAAAGCAAGTTCTTAACGACCTACAAAGAGACTTAGGCTCCCACACAATAATGATGGGAGACTTTAACACTCCACTGTTGATATTAGACAAATCAACAAGACGGAAAATTAACAAAGATATCCAGACTCGAACTCAGATCTGGACCAAGCAAACCTAATAGGTATCTACAGAACTCCCAACTCCAAGTCCACAGAATCTACATTATTTTCAGCACCACATCACACTTACTCTAAAATTGACCGCATAATTGGAAGTAAATCACTCAGCAAATGCAAAAGAATGGAAATCATAGCAAACAGTCTTTCAGACCACAGTGCAATCAAATTAGAAATCAGAAATAAGAAATTAACACAGAACCTCACAACTTCATGGAAACTGAACAACTGGCTCCTGAACATTGACTGAAAAAACAATGAAATGGTGGCAGAAATAAAGATGTTCTTTGAAACCAATGGGAACGAAGACACAACATACCAAAATCTCTGGGACATATTTAAAGCAGTCTCTAGAGGAAAATATATAGCAATAAATGCCCACATGAGGAGCAAGGAAAGGTCTAAAATTGACACCCTATAGTCAATATTGAAAGAGTTAGAGGACCAAGATTAAAAAAAACTCAAAAGCTAGCAGAAGACAAGAAATAACTAAGATCAGAGCAGAACTGAAGGAGATAGAGACAC